GCGTCTGGGGTCTAACATATATATATATATATATATATATGATCCCGGTTCGGCCGGCCCCCCCCCCCCCCCCCCCCCAATGGTTCCTCCTCCCCCTCCCTGTGGTGTGGTGTGGTTGTGGGTTGCTTCCCCCTCCCTGTGGTGGTGTCTTGTGGTTGGGGAGTGGGTCTGCTTAGGCTGGTTCCCCCACTCCCCCCTGTGGTGTGGTGTGGGTTTGGGTTTCCTGCGTGGGTCTGCTTGGCGTGTGAGCCCTCGTGTGGAAAAAAGCGTGCACAGTCACACAGATTCGGCTTGGGGAGCGTGGGGGGTCGGTGAACCGAGAACCGGGATCATACATGCGATGGGGTGAGAGCAACCTCCGGCATGTCAGGACAGCACAGGCCCGCCTCGCATCGTTCTTTTCCTTCCGCCGCGATGCACTGGGTGTCCTGCGAAGGCAGAGGAAATCGAACGCAAAGGGGCCAAGAACCAAAGTGCTGCATGGTTAAGACGTGTCCTGTTGACTGGCAGACCCTTCTTAACTGTAGACAGCATTCCCCATCTTTGATCCACAACAGCTGCGAGTGTGGACAGCTATGGGCAGCTGCAAAATAGGGCAAGTCACACGCTGGAGACCCGCAATTGCCCCAAACCTCCCTATGCCTACACCATTCGAAAGCCATGTCCGGGCCAGACCACCAATTTGCCTGGACTTTCACAGGCTCTACACTTGAATGGGACGCAACATCTTTCGCTCAAATTTCTCCGGAACAAGCTGGGCAATCAATCCAGTTGTCCGCGTGAGCCGCATCTTTCCGAGCGATACTAACAGCACTGCTTTGAGAAACTGACCAGAAGGTAGAATCAGTGATGGCAACATGACATTGCAGGCCGATTCAGTCCATGGCGTCAAGATCGTGATGTGAGGTGCCCTCTATCAACTTAACAAAGTCTTGCATTGCCGGTCTAGGACCCTAGGACTTTTGAGGCCGCAAGGTCACAACACGAGCTGTGAAGGCATGCGAGGTTCTGCTGGAAGGCTCCAGAGTTGACAACCAGTCCTTGCTATCCGCTGCGTTTCGGAAGCACCTCGATTCTCAAAGCGAGCCTTCATCAACTGCCAAATAAAGCACGGGAGTCTCCAAGCGATCCAAAGCGTGCACCGGCAGCTGTTGGCAGAAACGAGACATGGTCGCGGTACATGCCATGGAACATTTACTCGCGGATAAAGCACAGCAAACTCCCAGCATGTCTTCGTGCAAAAGCCCAGTGTCTCAGTGCAGAGAAACGACCTTTCTCGACCTTTGCAAATCTTTGCACACACGACACCATTGCCCTGGATGCAGGATGAAAGTAGGCAGTAGCGACGAGACATGCAGGACGCTGCTGGTTGGGCTGTAATGTCCAGCGTTGGGACATCAAGTCCCGCAGTAACGCGAAATGGCTCGACAGGCCGCATTCGCGGTGAGCCATACGCATTCAGGTCCCGTCCTCCAGAACCACATCATTCCGCCAAGGGCTTCATCACGTACCGATTCCTTCCCAAGCCGAGCAAACACAACTTCGTCACTTTGGGTGAACGAAGCTGCGCAAGTATAGTCGTGCATGTTTAGGGAAGCCTTTTAGCCTTAGAACAATCTAACAGAAGAAAAACCTTCACGGCAGGAACCACGAACGGCCTCCCTGCCAGCATCAGGCTCGGCTTTCGTCGTTGCTCTCCACATGCGAGGATAGATTCGCGACATATGACGTTTGATTGGTCGGCGAGAGGCCAGATCCTTGGGCAAATCACATTCACACTTCTGCCGGCTTGCACAATTTGTCCGGCGAAGCTGCTTCGGCGAGATCTTCGCCTCCGGCCGGATCTATTGCTTTTGTGTAGTCGGTCAGCAGCGACAAGGATGCAGAACTTGCAGCATCAGTTTAGCAGCGCTACCAGATACCTCTGCAACTCGCGCTCGTGGAGTTCATGGATTCGGCCCCCCATCCTGGCACCGTGTAGCCACGGCTTGACATGCAAGCGCTTGACATGCAAGCGGAAGAACGGAGAACTACAGGCTAGACAGGGACGGTGCGTGGTGCGTGGCCACAGCGAGCCTGTCTGCCACTCGCCAAGCAAGGAAGGCAAAGCGGGTCATCACCTGCAGTGTCAGCTGCGTGCTCCTCGTGAAAGTGAGATTGAGGGAGAAGGATGCCAGCAGTGCCGCAAGCGGTGCGTGATTGTCATCCACGACCACGAGATTTTTCATGTCCTGGTGAGGCCAGGGGCAACAGTGCAGGGTAGGTAGCTGTGGGCAAGGATAACACAGTCCATGCTCTTGAAGAGCTGGTAGGCGCTTTGAAGAGGGAAGCTCTCCCGAACAGTGACCTCAGATGACTGTCGTTCCCAACGTCTCAGAGTGATGAATGCTTGGAGAGGGCTGTGTGCGGTTTACTCCAGAGCGCCGACCTCCTAGGCTGATGAGCTCCCGGCTGGATACAAGCTGGAGCAGCGCTTCAGACTCAGCATCGCAAGAGTTGGCACAGGTTTCGTCAGCTGGTGTCGAACCGAATTCCCATATCGCCTCTCGATTTCTACGGCCTGACAAGATGAATCGCTTCGCTGAGGCCCATGCTCCTCAGCCGTGATTTCATCATCTTGGTCCAAGAGCTCCTAAGCTGCGGTCACTGCGGTCTCTCAGCGCCTAGTTGCGGATACACATCCAGCATGTCGCAACACGCTCTTTCCTCCAGATCTTTCCGGTCCACCATTCCCACGACCTGAACAAAAGTTTGCGGTCGGAGTTCGGCTATGATTCGATAGCTACAGACCGCCGGCAGTCGCAGGAAATTAGAGCGGAGATGGGTGCTCGACGACTCGCTTGGCATCAACCACTGGGAAGCCAGAGAAATTGTTGCCTGGCACGTCG